AGCAAGGGCCCCGCCATGGGTAGAATTATAAGGGTGCAGCTTTAGGAATGATTAAAAAATGTACGAAGAAAAAGCAACAGCAACTGTATTCTTAAAATTTTAAGATAATTCCTGAATATTCAAAAACCTGAAAATAATATCCTTGTATTTACATTAGGCAATAAAGAAAAACTTAACATTGAATGTATATTTACACAATTATGAAGCTTATCTTATATAAAATGCCAGCTAGCCTTCAACATGTTCAAAGAATGCAAATATAACTTCAAACAAACAGCAGTTGCAGACAAAGATTTTCATTAATCTTAAAGTGACAGATAAAGAAAAGCCTACTAAATTTTCTGCAGCAGGCTAGATAATTAATCCCAAGGGATTAATTGTACCTCTCTAATCATTTTCTTCTCAAGTTACAATAAGAACTTTTTCAGTATTAATGATAGAATGGGGTTTTTATACAACTACCTTAAAAATTAATAATATTCTTGAATCAATATAAAGTAAAAAAAAGTAAATAAAAAAATCTTCATTTCTTGTTTTTAGAATTCAATGAAATCATAACTATTTAACAAAAATAAATTATAAAAATTTACATTTAAATCCACATTTCAGAGTGTATATAGCATTCCAAATTGACTTATTTAACTTCAAAACAAACTTCATTTGCGGTAATTCATCTCAATGTGACAGATAAAGATAATGCTCTGGATTTTCTTCAGGAGGAAAGTTAATTAATCCCAAGGGACTCATAGCAGCATTCAGTTTACAATGGGAACATCTTCAGCAGTTATCTCTCTTTGCCAATGCATTCTTATATAAAAGTAAAGGAATCTACCCCACCACCCCAGCTCCAAACCAGGGGACATAGAGAAACAAACTTAGCATAAAAATATGTCTTTCTGCTTACTGAACTACCATACCAAATTTGAACTCGATTGGGCAACCATAAAAAAAGTTGCCCATTCATTCTTATGCATAGTTAACGAATCTACCCCACCACCCAAGCTCCAAACCAGAAGACCTAGAGAACCAAACTTAGCATCAAATTATGTATTTCTGCCCACTGAACTACCATACCAAATTTGAACTTGATTGGGCAACCATAAAAAAAGTTATTAGAAAAAAACAGAAAATTTGTGGACGGAAGAGTGACAGACGGACAGACAGAGTGATTACTATAGGGCACCCGCAAATCCTTGCGGGGCCCTAATAAACTAAATATCCAGTAAAATCAGTAAAACTCTCACACAAAGGTTTATAAAAGATCAAGCAATCGTAACAATGACATAATTTTCGTTATACCACATAGGGCGGTTTAATTCTCATTTCACGTATTAAGCATTAAAATAATAAACGCGATAATGTCTCCCCCGCATTTCCAAACAACCGTTTCTATGGCAACTGCCATAGACTTACTATCAAAGATATTTAAAATATTTTTTAATTTAAAATATTCATCAAGTGTCTATATTTTCATTTGTAATTTTCAATCAATTCCACTTAAAAATAAATAAAATATGAAGAAATTCCACGAACTTTTGGATCAACCCTCGCATATTTAAATATATTCTTTTCAAGATATTTCATATATATATTCCAATACCATGGGGGTTATGATTTGAACAAAATTGAATCTACATTATGCAAAGAAGCTTTCACACAAGTTTCATCTGTTTAGGCACTGTCATACAAATCTTGAATCCTCTTAAATCAAAGATGCTTTGTGGCAAGTTTGGTTAAAATTGGTCCAATGGTTCTTGAGAAAATAAACAAGAGGCCAATGGACCACATCACTCACCTGAGTAACTTTGGCTATGCTGTTCTTTACCAGATTTCCCTCTTGCAATATCTATTGTGACCCCACTCTATCCCCATGGGTCATGATTTGAACAATTTAGAATCTACAGTACCCGAAGATGCTTCCACATAAGATTCAGCTTTACTGGCCCAGGGGTTTTTGAGAAGAAGATTTTTTAAGATCACCATATATTTCAATGTAAAATTTGGATTCCCTATTGCACCCCAGGATGCTCCCACATAAGTTTCAGCTTTTCTGGCCCAGTGGTTCTTGAGAAGAAGATTCTTCAATGACCTCAGCCTATTTTTGTCTTTTCTTGATTATCTCCACTTGGAAGGCCCAGACTTGGCCCTTCATTTTGACAATTTAAACTCCCCTTACCCAAGGATGCTTTGTACCAAGTTTGATTAAAATTGGCCCAGTAGTTCTTGAGAAGATTTTAAGCTTAAAATGTGAAAAGTTTACAAACGGACGGACAAACAACTGACAATGGGTTATCAGAAAAGCTCAGTTGAGCTTTCAGCTCAGGTGAGCTAAAAAAGTGAAACATTTAAAGACAAGAAGACAGATGGAGGTTGGACTTCCTTAGATCAGAGATGTTCACCTGAGCCTTGACCAGCATATCATTACAGTTTATAAACTGAAAGTAATATAATTGTGTAGGATTCAAAATAAATCAATTGTAATGGAAACAAACTACAATGAACATTAATATGAGCTAAATCATATATTTACATGTACCACAATTTTTTTAATTTTCAGAAATGTATTCCAAGAAAATCTACAAAATGGTTCAGGTGACACATGCAATTCCAGTAAATAATATGGGGAGTTTTCTGGATAGTAATAGGAAATTGAAAAGGAACAAACACTTGGATGGAAGAAGTGAGCATCATATGTGGATAAAAATAGAATGAACTCATTAAAACACTCTCATGCAGGGTCAGTCCACCTTTCTATAAAGTTAATCCCGAACAACTTGGGTAATTTTGGTGGAATATAATCCAAAGTTCAATGTAGCTACATGTAATTTTCAGATTCTTCTGACTGATATTAATTATTAAGCAAACTTTAAATGGCATTATTCAATTGAACTATCTCACCCATCACTCTGGGTTAAAAACATGCAATGAACCACTGGGTTAAATATTTTTTCCAATGACACTGCAGCTCTCTCATCAGTTACTTTTTTTAGGGGGGGGGGGGGGGTTACACTTCTACAATTAAAAGAGGTCAAATAATGTATACAGGGTTATTTTCTCCCCATCTTATTTTCGCCCTTTCACTCTTGCAAACAATTTTGCCTCATTTTAAATTCGCCCAGTCATAGTTTGTTTAAGAAATTATACTGTATTCTTTAAATTCGTCCCGTTTTAAATTCGCCCAAATGAGGGTAGGGCGAAAGGAGCGAAAATAAAACGAGGCGAAAATTTCCCTGTATACAATAGTACGTTTTTTTTAAAAAAAGGAAAATTAGTTCTTTTTCAAAGGATAATTATGAAATATTATGCAATACATGTATTTTGTAAAAGTTTTACTGAATTTATTTTCAATAAAAATTCAGGATTTCTTGTGATGATGGAATTAATCCCCCAAACTAATCTCAAAGTACAACTTATTATATTTTTTTTCTATTCACTCAGTTAATCCATCTTTTCTGTTATACAAACTTTGATATACACATTAGACATTCTTTACACAGGTCTGGACGATTTCTAAATATGGAAGTCAAGAACGATAACCGAAAGTTGCTATAAATGTACATCAAGTACACGTAATTATTTTTCTGTCCAATCAGACAACAGCATTTTTACACACCCCAAAACATATTTTTAAAGAACAAAAAGATAACACGTGCTTTTGTTTTTTTCCTCAAAAAGATTTTTTTAACAAAAAATCTGTAGAGGTAAGATGAAAACTTTTGAAGAATAAGGTATTCCCCACATTTTTACCGTGAACAACCTTGACATTTTTATCTCGGTAAAGAAAAACAAATAATGCACGATATAATGTAATCGTTTACAGAGGTATAGATTGCACCAGCAAGTTTTTATCAAGTTCAATTATAACATTTACTAGAATATATTATATGATGGTAAATATAATTTTGCTTAGCCGTCCGATTTTCATCGATAATGCTTAAATTCCATGTGTATAGATCAAATATCACAAGTGTTTATCGTATGGAGTATACACATATAGTTTTGCATTATCACAGGTTTCATGAGCGCCGAATACTTTGCTATGCAGACTTTAAATGGGCATAAGGAAAGGCGTTTAACTTGAAGAAAAGAGAATCCTGTAATTATACATGAATGCTTTTTATCCCAATATCTTACCTCACATATTAGAAACTGCATGAACTACTAGTATTCTGTAATAAACACTCAAAAATAATAAAGACTGTTATCTTTTCGATAAGATTTTTATGTCAGGCTTTAAAAACTGAAAATTTACCGTATTTATATATCATTTTTTTAACGTAAGTAAACTTTTGGGATTGCTAACTCCTAGAGACAGATTTTTTTTTATCCCACTTAAAACGTATTTCAAGCTTTCAAGTCGTGTTTGTTCACGGTAGAATTGTCATAAATATTATATTATTCACAAATGCGCATAAAGTTTACAAAAAGTTTGTTCTAAAAAAATCTTTTGAGCAAAAAACTTAAAAACCACGTGTTTTATTTATTCTCTCATGGGTTTGTCTAAATGCTGTTATCTGATTGGTCAGAAGGATTAGTGCCTTGTTTATTCTGTGTATTAATAGCAATTCACGGTTATTGTTCTTGACTTCCATATTTAGAAATCGTCCAGACCTGTTACATATACAGTAGACATGCACCTGACATGCCTTATGCATGCTGTTGACATGCACTACACATGCCTTAGACATGTTACTGACATGCATTATACATGTCTTAAACATGCTGCTGTAATGCAGTATACTTGTTTTAGATTATGCTGCTGACATGCGTTATAAATACATGCCTTAGACATGCTGTAGACATGCAGTCTTACCTGGGATCTTTATCACGCTCCTTTTTGAGGAGCATTTTCAGGTAGGAAATATTCATTGTAACAGGAAGATTTAAATCCCCCAACCTTAAGCTAAAAATAGAAGTACCCTTTATTTTAAATTCTTTATAATTATTTATACATGTACTATCAGAAAAATCAAACTATTTCACTTGCGCACAGTCTCCATTGATGAAAGGGGAAGAGGGAGTTGTTTTAAGGGCAGGGGAGTCAAGGAAACCGAGACAGAAATATCTTAAAAAAATGTTTTTTGACTTAAAACTTATTAAGCAAAGCTTATGCATAGGTTTGGCCTTTTGACTCATCTCAAAATGTAGGTCAGTTTCAGAATCTTATTAAACAAAAATGCCAATTCTTCCCTTATATAGGCCAAAAATAATGTAGTTAATGAAATGATATGAAGAAAATGAAATCAAACTGTTGCCAGTAATTGTGCCAATGTAATTAACTGGTTCTTTCCTTGCTCTGTACTCTTAGACCTGTATCTTAATTTAACCCACTTCCTACATAATGACAAAAAGGGGAGATACAGGCCAAAGAATATGGTCTCAAAATAAGACGATGTTATGGTTTCAGCCGTTGGTTTCCAGGAAAAGCCTCTGACAGGATATCAGTGGAGACTGCTAACAACTTACTTCTATTATCTTAATACCTCACTTCTGAGTTTTCTTTTTTAAAAAAACAAAATAGTTTGACATAATCCAGTACAGCCATCAAAAGATCTGTGTTAATGGCCCTGTTCTCAATTTACCATTCCCTGATATGGATATTGGGGAACAATTTAGCCCTTGGTGATTGCAGCAATTACATTGGAAGCACTGGTTTTCTAAGTGCTGATGTTTGAATAATGGGGGTCTCAGAAAGAAAACAAATGCTAATTAACAAGGCACAGCATCAATAGGGATTGAATTTATTTTCTTCTCAAAATTTCGTCCTACAAAACAGCCTTCAAATTGAAATGACTTATTAGATATTGATTCCCACATTTTTGTTGATCACTCAAGACTGTTTTTTATTAGTGTTTATGGGTGTTTTGTTTTCCTTTGATGCAAGGATGCAAAAGAAACAAGAAGAAAAAATGTGTTTGAGAAAATCAGTATGTTTTAACAATTATTGTGACCTTGACAAACAGTTTGATCCTCATCTACCTTTCTTTTCATGAGAAACTTTTAACATTTCTCCAGTACAATGACCAAACAAGAATTTTAGTCCCTATTTCAATATCATTCTAAGATAAGTGAGGTCAAGGTCAGGGGTTAAGTCAAGGTCAAAAGAAAGGTCAATGTCAAAAAGTGCAGATAAAGTGAACAGCTCTCACCAATATGTGTCACTAGGATATAAGGTTTGATAAAATTAATCGAACAGTTTCTTTGAACTTTATTAATATAAAAAATAATTTAATGCATTTTATAGCTCTTACCAATATGTACCAGCATATGAAGTTTGACAAAAAAAACTTGAATAATTTCTTTGAAACTGAGATAAATGCAAGTGAGGAAAGAATAGAAAGACAGAAGGGTGGAAGATGAACATGACAAACCTATGCCCCTGCCATATTCATGCCAGGGCAAAAAAAAAATAGTATTGACCTTTCCTTTGATCTTTACCTCACTATTCTTAAATTAAAGTTTTGCTTAATATAAAAAAAAATCATATAATTTATTTTTAAGATATTTTTATCAATTAAACCTTAGAATTATGTTGATAAAATTATATTGATGAGATGCGTTCAACTTTAACAAAAATAATTTGGCTTGACCTTTCCTTTGACCTTGACTTGATCGGTGCTATTCAATTTCATAAACATTTTTTACCTTGACCTAATTTTATTTTTTTAAAAAGAGAAAAAGATGAGGGTATTTTGCGAGTGAATTGCAGGAATCATGTGCATAAAATATTTATAGTTTATAAACCCACAAATTTTTAGGCTGACCACATGCAGCTGGACAGACTTTACTTAAGGAATAACTCTAAGTTTTTGGTTTCATGATGTGATCAATCGAGTGGCTTGCATGATAATTTGCATAAACAGGCGTTTATGCATAAAATTATCAAACAAGCCAATTTGTTATACCTTTAAAAATTGTTCCTATACAAATCTATACAGAAAAAAGTCTAACATTTTTAATGTTTTGCTGAGCGGGCATAAAAAAATCGATGTTGGACCGCTGAGTTAAATGTTGGACCGCTCGGAGAGATGTTGGACCGCTTACGTCACAGAATGGGCGGAGCTTAATCTCATTTTCATTCTTTGGCTTTAAACAGTGACAGATCTAATGTTACATTACGGAATATAGTACAAAATACACGTATGTCAAAAAATATAAAATAAAATGAAAGGTATAACAAAACATTTATTGACAGAGTTCTCGGGCAAAATGCGTTTTGTCAGACCCTCGAACCAAACTGTCTGCCTTCAGCCTAACGGCCTCAGGCAGACAGTTTGGTTCTTGGGTCCGACAAAACGCATGTTGCCCTCGAACTCAGTCAATAAATGTATACATACTATTGATCATGAAACCAAAAAATCTTACAGTTATTCCTTATATTTACAAAATGGAAAAAGTAACACATAGAAAAATCTTGTTTAAATTGTAAACAGTAACATTTATGAACACTTAAGGATGTACAACACACCTACCCCCAAAAATTCCTGTCGTTTAATTTTCGTTATTTTTGTATATTTAGTAAACGACTATATCTACTGTATGTATGCACATTTTGGACAAAATCGTTCGAGTGGTTTTTGGACAGGAACTTCCAAAAGTTACCCCCCTTTAGTTGTTTACGAGGAGAGAAAATTTTTAATCAATGAATTACTTAAACCTTGATTTTCAAAAAAGCCAGGTTAGATATCAATGTCAAATTTCATTGGCTTATTCCTTTAACCATTTAACACAAAAACATAGTCATCTTTTTGATATGCATATCATCAAAATAATTTTTAAAGACCTTAAACTGAAAAACTATGAATTATCTAAGCCTTGAAAATTGCATATTTTTCAAATTCAAAATTTTTTTGTGAAAAAACCTGTCGTTTAATTTTGGTAAAAAACTTTCTTTAGGTAGCTGGTAGTAAAAATAATCTTCATAATTTTTTGTATAATTTTTGTACGACCAGTTTTGATTTAATAGCGGAAAATTACCCCCTCCCCCTTTCTCAATAAATCACGTTCCCGAGCGTCTTTCAGACGGGTGTGATCACTTTGTTATATGAATCTACAAAAACACATTAAAAAAAATAAATTGGAATATTGCTTTTGCTTCAAAAATATATTAACTTACAAATTTAAAAGTTCTCATATGTAAAGCATATTTAAATGTAGATTTTTAGGCAATTTTTGAATACCCCTACCACCCTCACCCCTTCCTTTTTTGCGTCGCAGACCATTAGCGTTTGACGAAACGTCGTTTACAGTGCACATATACTGGTATTTCGTTATTTGAATCCCGGAGGTATGCATTAGTTCTTAAATTCATGAATGCAGAATAAATATTGACTACTCTTTTTATATGTATCAGGAAAAAAATACTGAAGGATTTTAGTGTTTAGTCCATATATGTATGCGTTATGCATTCCATATATCACATGAAACCTGGATACGAATTCAAGTTTTGTTGAACTTCAATATCATATATGTCGATTTTTAATTTTATATCTTTAATTTTATTCATTAAAAAAATGGTGTATGTTCAAATCTCCTGTGATATAAATGGAATAATTGTAGTTTCATTCATGTCATTATTTCAAACGAGACAGTATGTGGCAGTGGGGATACATCGACATTTGCATAGATGTACACCCCTCATGATATTGTACGCATTTCTTTCAATGTCGTCGCTTCTAAAGTTAGTATGAAAATTCCGTATTCGTCCACATTAACTTCAAAATATCAAACATTAAACTCTTCATCTATTTCAATTTATATCAAATCGCACTTTGATATTTTTTTTTGAAAATCTTTAAAAAGGCTACGTTTTGTTTTGATTCGAGGAAATGCGAACCGACATTGTTGACAGTGACAGAAAATCAAACGATTTGCTGCAATAGGATATTCATCAATGCAGATAATTTCAGTACAAGTGAACAATTCTTTTCAATTCTATACTTACATTGTGTATATGAGGTCTATAGTATTCAATTCTCGGATTTATCAGGTCTTGCTGAAAATGTATCTGATTCTGTGGAAAACCGTGAATAAAGGGAGGAAAATAAACATCTCCTACATTTTCAGAGTTGTTCCTCTTTGATCAGTAAGGGTCTACATCGATTTTACATTGTAAAAAAGTTTTTTTTTTTTTTGTTTATTTATTGTTATTTTATTTAATTAAAGAAAAAAAAACAATATTTATATCGTAAATGCACAAATTGTAATGAAGACCATTAATCGGAATGTTATATAGCCAATTGTACATAATGAGAATTTCGGCAATGTAAAATTTTCAGAATAAAAAAATAAAAAAATAAAAAAATGCTGCGCTTTGATAAAGAATACAATTTATTTTATATGAAATGAAATTAACATTAAGGGATGATATTTTATGTCTAGCTTTTTACGGAGTTTAATCGGGTTAATAAAAAAATACTTATGGATTGAGTACGGTACGCATAATCACAGCCAAGCCCATTTTTCTTATATGATTGATATACATCGGGATCGTTTTACTCGTCATTTGAACGCTTTATTTTTGACGTTAAATTTGACGTCACGTCAAACGTTCAATTGAAATCGCAAGAGTTATCTCCCCTAGTGTGTTGTACGTCTTTAAACCTTAATTAAGAATTACATGTATGATAACATATTAGTTAACATTTGAAATAAATAATAAACCTCTTCTAAACAATAGCTATATATATGAAATTTTCAGTAGGTAAAGTTGACAAGGAATATGTTTATTATCATTTTCTTATCAAACAATTGTCCAGCTCCTCACATCTGTTATAACATGTTCAAGTCATGGTCAGTTATTTGAAGCATTGAAAGTTAAAAATCAGGTTTTTAAAAAGCTATTATCTGCAGCGACAATTTAAAATCTTGATCGTTTGCATTTAAGTTTCATTTAAATTACTTTGTAGCTGAATTCTTGAGTACTGCAACAGTGTAATTTGTTTTTTTATTTTTAATTTATGTTCGTTTCATGCTGGCATATAGTGTTTTTATCAAATACCTGTATTTGATTCATCTTCAACATTAAAACGGGTAAAAAGAAAAATTCAACATAAAACAAGATAAAACTGTGTCAACTATTGAGCACCTTAACTAAATCTGACCAGAACTTCAGTGGTAATCAGGTTGACTTTAATTTTCAATGATAAATTGATAACAATCATTGCTGGTTCTCCTGGCAGAATTCAACAAAAGGTTAAAGATTATCTAATTTTGGAACTACTAAGCCCCCCACATAATGATATTATGTTGACATTATCATCAATTTAAATAAACCGACTGGGCTAGAGTCATATAAATCAACAGTTCCTCACCCCCTTATGATCAATATTTATCATCCCCCAATGATAGAACTGCCAACAAGCTCTCTAAACTTTTGACAGAAATCAAATATTTCTAAAGACGAGTCACCTAATAAAGATAAAAATTCTAAAACTCAACAAATTTATGGTTTTATTGGTTTTTCAAGTTCAATCAGAAACATACAATCTCCTTTCATTTTTTCCCAATGCAACGAAGATTACATAAAGACAAGCAATATTCTAATTTCCATTACATACCCTCCAAAAAATAAAATGAACTGCAATAAAAACAATCTCTTTCTTACCGTTTCTTTTTCCCTGGTTTAGACATAAGTATTTCTCCGTCGATAGACTTCTCTCAGAGCAAAAGGTATAACCAGCTTCTGCTTAGGACACATCTATTCCTAGGACCATTGCAACACAATATCAATGATCTGGAAAAAAAAAGTTTGGGAATCTGATCAAGGTAATTCCTTATTAAACAATCAGGGAATATCAAGTTTCTTCAACCAAAGATCACAATCTTGGACAGAACAGGGCTGCTTTGTGTGTAAACCTTTGTTTACCTAATAGTGCACTGCGTGTTTCGATGTCTCTATCATTAATAACCTTGGATTGTCCAAATATAAAAACCGCTTTTTATATAATAACAAAAATATATGATACTGAGAGGGTACACATTATTAAAATCTCCAAATATCAATCATTTAAACTTTAAATCTCAAATGAGGTTACCTGTTCAATGAGCTACCTTAACATGTTAACGTATATCCAATTAAAATTTTTCATACCACTAAAAATCTTATGAAGTTATTATTTCTACAACTTGATTAACTTGTATGACAGATTTAATGCACAAAGCACATCCAAGGGAAAATTTCCAAACCACAGTCAAGTACAGTGTTTTCCTATGTACATAAAGTAATGCTTGATTTAAGTATTTTTAAATATTTCTACTTTACCTAGGGATAATTTTCTGAATAACATAGTCTTGTATATTAAAAAAGAAAAAAAAGAAAAGTGAACAAGAAGATCAAGTTTCAATAAATATTTCCTTTGGTGTTCACATTATTTCACAAAGGAGATTTTTCTTTCATTTTAATGTAAGAAGAGTAGCACTTGATTCTGTGCCATCTACACTCTTTAACTAAAGCTTTCTTCAGTTTTTCCGAGAAAAATGACATAGCAAGCTAAAGTAAACAACAAATTAGCAAACAATCTTCACAATTACCTTATTGATCGTAATATACCAAGTACTGTGTAAATCTAATTACAGAATCGGATGTGAATGGCCAACTCTGCGATTTACATGGTAATTTTTCCAAGTCCTTTTGACCAAATACATAAATTTTATTACGAATAAACAAGATATCGTTAATTTTATCACATACTCCAAATTACCTCTAAAGAATATAAGGAATTGTTTCTCTCAATATAGACTGTAGCTCTTGGTGTTATAATCAAGTAGCAGAAAATCAGTAATAGTCAACTCTTAAGATAGCCAAATGAATATAATATTCAATTTTATCCTGAGTTACTGACAAAAATTAAAGTATCTACAATGGCATGGTCACTTTCATTGTATCTGTATGATGTGTATTTACTTAGTGGATTATGTACTCAAGGCTGAAGCTAATAAATTAACCCTGGGTTTGTCCTGCTTTGGGAAAGAAATAAGAAAAAAATTCTTGTAAAGAGCATATCAATTACACCATATATTAATTTCCAACAAGTATACAGCATGAAAATTACACCAAAAGCTCCAAAGTACCACAGAAGATGGCAATTTTAATTTCCAACATACAATGTATACTGTAAAATTGATAATAAAGCACCTTCATAAAAACATGAAAGTCAAGTAATATTATCATGCAAGTTTGAAAATTACTCAGAACTTACCTTTTTTAAAAAAGAATTATCCATGCAAAGATATCAATATACACTAATGTCTTCTATCAAATATTGAATGCTAAATTCTTGGATGAAAAACTCTCTGATTTATACAATTGCTAGTACCACAGCAGCAGAGTAATATTTGGCATCAAATTAAACACAAAGTACATGAAAGTTGCCGATTTAAAAAAATTTGGTGAACACACGATTCACCAGGTGACAGTCAATTATCTTGATTATCATATCTCAGTCGTTAACTCCAAAATGGCTTTTAAATATTTCACAGGGTGCATCCATACAATTCTTTGATTTTTCACTTATCAACTTTAAGATAAACATGTCCAGAACAAATTAAAAGTTGATCCCAAGTTAAAGTCCTCCTTCGCAATTTGGCTACTTTATAACAGACTGTTATACATACAGCAATCAATGTCCCAATAGATTGTGGGAGTTCATGGTTAGGTCCTATATTCAGCTGAACAAAACATAGGTGACAAACAAATTCAATAGTTTGTCTGGTATGGTGACAAACTGTGGAGAACATCATAACAGTTCTCCCATCAATTCACTGTGGGATTTCTGTCTGCCATTCTAACAAATCTATTGATACAAAATCTTCAATGCTTAATGCTGCAATTTTTCATGGTATAAATTAAATATCTTAACTCTTATAAACACATTTATTGAAACTTACTAATCCAACAAGGATAATACATGTTCTGTGATTTAAATGTAGCCAGGCATATGATGCAATTAAACATCCTTCTTTAAGAAATGTTCCATAACCCCAATATTGAGAACATTTCTTTAATGGAAAACCCATTTGATATTAAGAAGATATAGACTATTTGAGTTTTGAGTGCTACAAGACGACATTAACAACTTCCTTCATTAGCTAACTTTCTTCTTCATACTGAATTGGTAGTGCTTTCATTAAACATCTAAATTATAAATACGCAATGCCATTGGCAGCATCTTAAATGAGGCCGTAATAAGTATGCATCTCTAGTTGATACAACAAATGCAAGTTTGGTCAAGGTATAAAATAGCTCCTTGGAAATGAACCTGTTTCAAAAACTTTAATATGAAATCCCTCGTTACAAAAACATGCATGTGTAAATATGTAGATCAGTTGCAACATCTGCAGCAAAACTGGTGCTGTTGTGTCCAACATAAGCATCATTCATTTAAGTTTGGCCTATGAAGGACTTACAATATTAAATTTTATGAAGAGACTTGCTACAAAACCTTTAACCTAGCTGCTCAATCATCTAGAAACTAGACAATCATTAATAGTCAGGATGGTGACCATCTCTATGGGCCCAAAAGGGACTTGTCTTCTGGATTGTTAAATGTAAAGTAAATTAATAAAATTTTGAATCTACTTTAAATATATACATGTAAGACTCCAAAGTGCAATGTCACGCCAAAGGTTGATGGTATCACAAAAGACCAATGGTCTGCTCCAAACCCATATGGCTCATTGTTTTTACGGACGCTAAAGACTAAAGTCCAATGGTAACGCCAAAATCCGATGGCTTGTTTCCATTGAGATACGATGCGACTGATTTGGGTTATTCCAGCACTCACTCAAGATAATTAATAGATTAGGGTTACTCTTGCACCTATCCAAGAGATGAGAATAAGTCTTTGCAATTTAGTAATTTAAAACCATTGGGCCTTGGCATTGCGCAGCATTGCATTTCTGCACAATAGTACTATGACGTCATTAACGTTTATTGTTTTCTGCATCATCAGACGTGTGTGTGTCAAACCATCGGGGTTTGGCGCAGACCACTGGACTTTAGTGTGACCATCAGACTTCATTGTCGCAAACCGCAGGTTTTGAGTTCACAAGCTTCCTCTAAGAATTTTCTCAAATAAATTTATCTGAGCAAGACTCAACTTTTAAATTTCTTTCCTTGCAACTTACCTATAAGTTTTAGGCAATATTATTAAAATAATACCTTTATATGCTAATTTTCATGCAGCACTACAAAAAGCAGTGTGAAATGCTAAAAATAGATTGTTTGTATACAGTGTCAATTCTACAAAAGCTGCATTAAAAAGAACCAAATGTCAAAACACATTCAAAATCAAAATGTGTTTAAATTAGATTTGTATCTTTTAAATGAACGCAAACTTATTATAGGCCCTATTTTATTTGCATAAAAAATTTAATGGAACACAATGTAAGTCTAACCCCATTTTTCTTGCTGTATTTTCCATAGGGGCTTGTCTTCCGGATTGTTAAATGTAAAATAAATTTTAAAAATTTTGAATCTTCTTTAAATACACTTAAAAGTTGTTAAATTAAAGATCCTGACACTTCCAGGCAAGAAAACCACGTTTAAAAAAGACGTACCACATCTATATGCATAAACTCTATCAGGGACGCAAGCTTCCATCTTGGAAAAAATACCCCCGCCCACTTCAGCGCCTATTTCTGGACTCTAAACCATTAATTTATTTCGGTATCATGGCTCTGTCCCCTACAGTGATGATTTTCCTAAATGTTGATGCGATTGTCAGTCGTGAACACGCTTTTAATCAACAGTAAACGGATACAATTTCTTCGATTTGAGCTCACCTCGCTGAATCGACCCCAAAAGAACGGAAGTTGACAAAATTGCAAGGGCAGATAATGATTGTATAGGGAAAACTCAAGGGTAATCGAAAGCGAATGGTAACACCCAAGGATTTCCAGTTTCGTAGAGAAAAATGTTTACCGACAAGAAAAAGACGGTGATATAATAAATACGGGCTAAAGTTTGGTTTCACAGGCTAAATTGTCATTGGGAAGACTCATCTAATATATAAGTAATTTGTTACATAATTTAAAAGCGCGCTATATGCTATACCACGATTATCGCCCTTGCGTCGTTACCATGCAACCATGTCAACTTCCATTCTTTTTGGGTCGATTCAGCGAGATGAGCTCAAATCGAAGAAACTGTATCCATTTACTGCTGATAAAAAGCGTGTTCACGACTGACAATCGCATCAACATTTAGGAAAATCATCACTGTAGGGGACAGAGCCATAATACCGAAATAAATTAATGGTTTAGAGTCCAGAAATAGGCACTGAAGTGGGTGGGGGTATTTTTCCAAGATGGAAGCTTGCGTCCCTTATAGAGTTTATGCATATAGATGTGGTACATCTTTTTTAAACATGGTTTTTCTTGCCTGAAAGTGTCAGGATCTTTAATTTAACAACTTTTAAGTGTATTTAAAGAAGATTCAAAAATTTTAAAATTTATTTTACATTTAACAATCCGGACAAGCCCCTATGGTATTTTCTGCAATTCTGTCACGCATTATCGGTAATATCTTAAAAATTCTTTATGTGAAATTATTGTAATTCATATTTTTCTTAAAAGGTATCAATTATCTTTTTATTTTGATAATGAAAAAATAAACCTTTACAATAAAATAAAAGAGAATGATGTAAGTAGTTTTCATTAATTTTTATACTGTTGTGTCATAAATATGGCTTCATAATTTAATCTGCTAATCTACAAATAAATTAAATATAGGTACATGTTCACTTTTCAAGGAAACTGAACTTCAAGCGAGGAAATTCTGGTTGTGGAGTCTCGGCGCGATGCATCCCTGACACCAAAGCATTCCAATTACAGACAACAACACCGACTAGACAGAACAGTCCTATACTCCAACTGCACAAGAAGTGCCTGCATTAAATTACTTTCTTAGAATCTCTTTACCTACAGGTGATGTCTACTGCATCATATTCATAAATCACGATTGTTGTCATGCATCTGCAGCAGACGGTCCAGCATCCATTTTGCAGAACAATACATTTCACAAAACGAATTTTCTGGTTGTCCGTACCCGACGTATACAGATGAAAAACGAATCATTGCACATTTATTCAAGATTAACATGGCATATATAAAAGACATTTTTAAAACGTTTTTCAATTTTTTATATCAACTGATAAATGTGTGAATTCCTTATTAAGTTTCATGATGGTATGCCAACATTGCACAGAATCAACACATGAAATTGAAATGAAAAGAAAAATCTGTGATACTGGCAAGATTACTGTTTTTAATGGCAAAAATCTTCTGGATAAATTTGATAGAATATTAGCATTCTTAATTAAATATTCTGTTAAAATTGATTTGGGGATATCTCAATTCCAAAATGAAATTTGGACCGAATGTAAGCAATACCGTATAATCCCTATTAACAGCCCTGGGCGCTTAGAAAATTGTAAAAAGGGGGCGGTTATTTTGGTGTTCTCTTTATGATATTTAATGTCATATTTTAACTTTAAAAAATCATTTGAAAATAAAAATAAATACAAGAAACAACTAAGATAATGTCTAACTTTATTTAAAGTGAAGATAATCCACCCAAATTTAATGCTAAATTGTTCATTTTCCACAGAGAAATTGGATGATAGACAAATTTCATTTTCACTTTCTACATTTTTTTTTTTGATACGGCTCTGGTTGATTTTAATCACTTACAGGGGGCCCTTATTTCCTGACAATTGAAAAAGACCTAAGGGGGCGCTTATAGGGGCAGGGGCAGATAATAGGGATTATACGGTAATTGTTAAAAAAAACCCACATTTTTAATCTGTACAACTTTTGACCAGGTCATGTGTTATATGTATCATAACATATTATATTTACATCCACTGAATATTTCTTCCCTTATTTGTTAAGAAAACCCATTGTGTTAATCTGTGCATGAACTACACTATAGGCAGGTCACCTGTACAGATTTCATGATCAGAGGCTGTTCCATCAATAAAACATATAAAGACAATTGCAGTAATACAATAATTAATCTTTTTAACCCAACTTCTAATGATTATTTAACAGATATGAATATAAACAATAAAATATCTTTCTTTGTTTGTTACTACTGGAATTAACGTCCGCAGCTATTGCAGAAAAAATTTACATAACCCACTTACACGGGTTATGTATTTTCTGCAACAGCTGCTTCCGTTAATTCCTAATAACAAACAAAGCATTTTATTGTTTAGTATTCTTGCTGCTCCTTCTGAAATTTTCCTTATTTTCGTTGTTAGGTGGGAGGCAAAATCCTCACCCCAGTAAAAACAGGTGCTGGATCCTCCTGCCTTACATAGGAGTATAAAATTGGTTACTTTTGCTTCTTTATAGTGTGTGACGTCATCACAAAATGGAAAAAAAACACATTCACATAATTTAGCAGTTTATTTTCTCTAATATTTTAGACACATGTACGCAACATTTTCACGTAATCTAGGCTAGTGGTTTATTTATTTTATTTAATATTTTAGACACACAAATGCAATATTTGCATACATTTCTTTGCTAATACAATGTTATGTATTTTATACATTATAAGAAAAACATGTTTTGTCTGTGAAATTTCAACTTTCTTTGACATAAATGAACATATATTATTTTACATACAATGTGCATCCTATACTGACCTTGCTGAAATTTCATATGAAAACATCAAGAGACCAGTACATGTAATCCAAATCAAATTCTCACAATTTATACAGGTACACTGTGAGCAAGACAAAAATTCTCAAATCCACAAACAAATGATAACTCAATTTGGAATGTTCTACACATGAGATTAATTTTCTTTTAAATACCTAAATTTACAACAATGCTTTAAATTAAAATAAATACAGAATAATCTAAGTTTCAAGGAATCTTTGTCACAAGCGAAAGTTGGAGACATGTCAGAAACAACTTGTTACAGTTTGTAACCTTGACCTTTGACCCTTTCATCTTAGTAGTAATTGAGCGTATATTTTCCTCATTGAGAGCATTCCCATACTATGGTTAATCTGTGACCTTGACTTTTTGTAAGATTATAATCATATTTTTTACCTTTACTTTTGACCTCAAACTTTTAAAAACATTAGGAGATATGGGACAATTTCATCACAAAATGTTAAAGACTTTTAGAGATATCATTTGAATCAAAAGTGTTACCGAGAGAATGATGGATGCCCAGCCAGAAAAAGTTGGGAACAAAAATCAACCTGACTCACAACAACATTTTTTATAAGACTCAAAGTTCCAAAACAAAACAAATTAAAATAAATTATTTAAGAAATACATTTCTGGAAATTATAATTTTCATCAATTCAATTCTAATCAAGTGCCATATTTCAAATAAATATGCACTGCCCTATTTATTTCGAACACTGGTTAAACCAAGTCCCTCAGTTTCACTGAAAGGGGACTATCGTACGTAAAATAATAAGGGGACAATGTATAATAATAATATATACAACTAGATGCTGTCATGAGACAGTAATACCCGCACTAAGGTGTTTGCCTCTAAATGCACACTTCTTCATATTGGGCTTTACCACGGAAAAAGTCAATATAATTCAATAATTTACATAATACATGTATTCTTCAAATTGAGCATAATATGCTCAGGTGACCATGTAGCTGCAGATCTGCAGCGTTATGGTTTTATATATTTGTCTTTGACCATAACGCTACAGATCCCCATATGCAAAAAAGGTGCAAATTTTCGGCGCAATATTTTTTTGCGCCTTTTGGGAGAATTTCTCCCTTTTCTAGAGGCAAAAATT